CTGTGAGTTCTGTGTGGCCACTACAGTGAATTATCGAACCCAGGAGAGAGGTGGTGGTGCTTTGGGGGGAACGGCTGGTGAAAGGGCTGGAGGGAGGCAGCATGTCTGGCCTTGCAGTAATAGGCCTTGGGTTACTGCTGGTAATCCTGCCTTCCTCTTGTGAGATTAGAGGAAGTCAGAATATGTGGCCTCCTTGCCGTTTTTGCAAAGAAAAACTGCTTCCAGCTTTCCAGCCACTCAGAACCACAGCCCAGCCAAGTTGACACACAACCTTAACTACTATACCAACTGACTGGAAAAGATCCATACTTGTGCCCTTTCCAAAGAAAGGTGATCCAACAAAATGTAGAAATTATTGAATAGTATCATTAATATCATAAGCAGGTAAAATTGCTGTAGAAGTATATTGATAGGGAACTTCCAGAAATTCAAGCTGGATTCAGAAGAGGATGTACAACAAGGGATATCAGTGCTGATGTCAGACAGACCTTGGCTGAAAGCAAAGAATACTGAAAAGATGGTTGCCTGTGTTTTATTGACTATGCAAAGCCATTCAACTATGTGGATTGTAACAAATTATAGATTAACATTGTGAAGAAAGGAAATTTCAGGACACTTAACTGTGCTCATGAGGAACCAATACATAGACCAAGAAACAGTCATTCAAACAGAACAAGGGGATACTGCATAGTTTAAAATCAGAAAAGTGAGCATCAAAAATGTACCCTTTTACCACATTTATTCACTCTCTATGCTGAGCTAATCATCCGAGAAGCTGGACTATATGAAGAAGAACATGGCATCAGGTTGAAAGAGGACTCATTAACAACCTATGATATTCAGATGACACAACCTTGCTTGCTGAAAGTCAAGATGACCTGAAGCACTTACTGAAGAAGATCAAAGACTACAGCCTTCAGTATGGATTACACCTCAACATAAAGAAAACAAAAATCCTCACAAATGGACTAATAAACAACATCATGAAAACTGGAGAAAGATTAAAGCTGTCAGGGATTTCATTTTACTTGGATCCATAATCAATCTCCATGGAAGCAGCAGTCAAGTAATCAGACAACATATTGCACTAGGCAAATCTGCTTCAAAAGACCTCTTCAAAGTGTTAAAGGGTAAAGATGTCACTTTGAAGTCTATGGTGTGCCTGACCCAAGCCATGGTATCTTCAATTACCTCATATGCCATGTGAAAGCTGGATAATGAATAAGGAAGATCGAACAAGAGTTGATGCCTTTGAATTGGGGTATTGGGGAAAATACTGAAAATACCATGGACTGCCAGAAGAACAAACAACTCTGTCTTGAAAGAAGCATAGCTGGAGTGCTCCTTAGAACCGAGAATGGCCAGACTTCATCTCATATACTTTGGTCATGTAGTCAAAATATACCATTCCCTGGAGAATATCAAGCTTGGTAAAGTAGAAGGTCAGCATAAAAGAAGAAAACCCTCAATGAGATGGATTGACACAGTGACTGCAAGGATGGGCTCAAGTATAACAAAGATTGTGAGGACCAGGCAATGTTTCATTTGTTGTACCCAGGGTCGCTATGAGTCAGAACCAACTTGACAGTCCATAGCAACAACCATAACAAGAAAAATTATACTAAAATTTGGATTGGTTTTGGCTTCGTCACTGTTTGTCCCTTATTTTCTATGGACCTAATTTATCTAACTGTAAGACAGAGAATTAGATTAGATCACCTTCACAGATTATTTTCATTCTGATATTTTAGGATTTTAAACATTTTCAAATACTATAGTCCTTAGCCAGCTTCAAACTTTAAAAAGCCAAAACCCATCATCATAAATGTTCTTGGACACTCCTAAAAATGTTTAAACTACAATATTCCCAGAAGTAACACCATATAATTCATCTTCAGTTCTTTGAATACTAAAATTAGAAATTAGATTAGGCAGTAAATCAAAAAGACTATCAAATGGAAACACAGGGCCGTGCTACACTTAGGAAATAAGAATTTAAACAAAAGGATCTATATTATTTCCTGCAGTACTGTTGCTCACCAAATCCTCTGGAATCCCCTTCCTGTCAAATGAAAGATTAATAGTAGGTTAAGTGGTACAAAGCCAAGACTGAAAACAGAAATATCACCAGTTGGTTACATCCTGAATTAGCGTTCAAAGGGGTTTCTACCATTTTTTGCTCTGAATTATTAACCTCTGTTCTGTAAGATAGCATCTGTGGTTGACACAAACAGTTAAGCAATCAACTGCTAACTGAAAGGTTGGATCTTGAATCTATCTAAAGTACCTTGGAAGAAAGGCCTGGCAATCTGCTTCTGAAAGGTTATAGCCTTTAAAATCCTATGGAATGCAGGTCCACTCTGCACACATGGTGCATCATGAGTCAAAATCAACTCCACTGCAACCTCTTTGTTTTTCTGGTTTGGTTCTCTTGGGGTTCTATAAGATGAAAAGGGAGCTCTGGTGGAGCAGTGGGCAAGGCACCTGGCTGCTAACCAGAAGGTCGGCATTTCAAACCCACCAGGTGCTCCACAAGAGGAAGATGAGGCAATCTACTTCTGTAGATTTACAGCTTTGGAAATCCAATGGGGGTCACTATGAATCAGAATCGACTCAATGGCAGTGAGTTTGGTTTTTGGGGAAGGCATTTGGCTGCTAACCAGAAAGTCAGCAGTTCAAAACCAACAGTTGCTCCACAGGAGGAAGATGGGAAAATCTACTTCCATGAAGATTTACAGCCTTGGAAACCCTATGGGGGTCGCTATGAGTCAGAATTAAATTGATGGCAGTGGGTGTGTTTTGGTTTTTGTTTTGTTTTTTACTTTTTAAGATGAAAACAACTATTTATTACATTTGCAGAGTATTTCAACTGGAGAGTTTTTAATGCTCTCTCATGTACATTTTCTTTTGTTCTTATTAATACTAGAAAAAGAACTAACCCCACAAGAAAACCAAGGTATAAAAAGTAGGAAACATGCCCAGAGTGTGACATGGTCTGTTAGAGTCAAAATAAGTATTACAACATCTTAAGATTTAATGAAATCCTCATCTCTTTTCCCAACCCCCTCTCAGATGTAGTTGTTTTGCATCTCAGTAAAGGCACATAAGAACTGAGAGAAATCAGGCTTGGACTTAAGAAAAATTTAATTAGGAACAGAGCTTCAAGCAGTGTTCCTGAAAGGCAAAGTATCAACTGCATCACTACAATGTGACAGAGACTACTCAAGCAATTTGAATTGATACAATCTTTTAAATTAATGTGGTTTTAAGCCCATTAAAAATAAAGAAATGTAAGACAGTATATATTTTCCAGATTTTTTTTTTTTTTTTTTTAATGGAGCAATGGGTCTGTGCCAGTGAATTTCTAGATACCCTCCTTTCTTCTCTGTGGTTTCTCTTCCCTTGGTGGCTGGGCAGAGGCTCTTTTGAGAACCCATCCCCCCCTGCTTTTTTTTTATTTTAATTGTGATTTGGGTGAAAGTTTACAGAGCAAATTCAGTTCATCCACATTTTGTTTCATGACATTGACTGCAATTCCCCACAGTGTAATAGCTCCCTACCAACTTCCTCCCAGTAGTTACCCTTTCCCTGTGTCCTTCCTTCCTATGCATTCCTTCCCTCTGAGCTATCTGCCTATGCAAACACTGACCTTCTGTTCTCCCATAATTGATCGCTGTAAGAAGTATATCTACCTGATGTAAATATGGGAGCTCTGGTAGCATAGTGGCTAAGGCACTTGACTGCTAACCAGAAGGTTGGTGGTTCAAACCCACCAGCCACTCCTCGGAAGGAAGATGGGGCAATCTACTTCCGTAGTGATACTGCCTTGGAAACCCAAGGAGGGGTCGCTATGAGTCGGGTCCGACTCAACGGCATATAACAACAACAACAACAACATATGCCTGTCTATTATTTGGCTAGAAGCCATGGGAGTAAGTTCAGTTCCAGACCCAAAGAGTAACTAGGGGCCATAGTCTCAAAGGTCTCACCAGGCTCTATCAGACCAGTAAACCTGGTCTTTTTTTTTTCTTTTTTTTTTTTTTAATGACTTTCAGTTTTGTCCCACAATGTTCTCTCACTCTATCCAGGATCTCCTGGATTGATCCCTTTCCAAGTGGTTGACAGTGGTAGCCAGGCACCATTTACTTCTGGTCTCATGCTCACAAAGGCTGAAGATTGCATGGTCTATTATTCCTTTGGACTAACTGCTTCCATGAACGTTTGATTTTCTTCATTCTTCTGTGCTCTCGGTGAGGAGAGACCCATTGTTGCATCTAGATGGCCACTTACAAACTTTAAAGACCCCAGCACCTACTCACCAAAGCAGGACATAGAACAATGTTTTTGTTAAGTATGTTATACCAACTGAGGTTTATGTCCGCAATGACTATAGTCCTGAGCCCACAGATCCAACTACTAGCTCCCTCAGGGTAGTTGGCTGTGGCCCGGGGTTATCATAACTCTGCCCCTTGTTAGCTCTATTATATATCTGGACATCATTACAGCACATACAATGAGCTCTAGTAGCATAGTGCCTAAGGCAGCTACTGCTAACCAGAAGGCTGGCAGTTCAAACCCACCAGCCACTCCTCAAAAGGAAGGTTGGGCAATCCACTTCCGTAGTGATACTGCCTCGGAAACCCAAGGAGAGGAGGTCCGACTCCATGGCAAATAACAACAGCAGAAGCAGCACATAAAAATACACATGTAGAAACATTGTCTGCCAACCTTATATACGGTCACAGGTATATTTTTAAAGAACAATTTTTATTGTATGTATGTGTTCTTTAAGAATAATAATAATTAAAAAAAAAAAGGTGCAAACCCTTCTGAGATCATGGATGAATGAACAAAAGCAATAAAAAACATTTCTTTTATTCCTTACAAATTATATGCATGCTTCTTGGCACTACTGTCGGCATCCACTACATGCATTAAATCCTAAGAATCCAAAGAAGTACTGCTAGCATTCTAAACAACATCTGTCATTATCCCCTCACCTGTTGGGCATAATGCTCAATTTCCTCTGCTCGGGTTTGATACCATTCTGTCACGTTCTCTACTGTGAGCTGAGTCGTCTTATATTTGAGTAACTCAGGCTGTGCAGCATACAAGAATTCATTTTCACCTTGGAGATTTGGCTCAACAACCATTCTGCAAAACACAAAAGAGCAATTAATAATTGAAAGGAATTAAAAAAAAAAAAGTATAATTTTGTGACAGAAACAGAGATGGAGAGAAAGCAGACTACAGAGATGAAGAATGTATGTATGTAGGTGCATGTGTGTCTTTTCTTATATGCAAGCACAGCCCAGTTACAAGTTAAATGATTTATTTTTAGCATGCTTAATTTATTTTCTTACTGGTTTGTCTGATTTAAAAAATAAGAACGGATACTACGTCAAAACACCTATACCACAAAATAAATCAAATATAACTAACAAAATAAAAATCACCCTGGGAAGCTTTTACAAAATGCATATAGCCAGGGGCCAAGCACAGGCCTACTAAATCAAAATCACCATTGATACCAATTTTAGGAAAATATACCCAGATAATTCCCACTCAAATATAGGTAAAGAAACCTTGCTTTTCACATTTACAAAAATAAGGAAACATTCCTTATTTTTGTAGATAATAAAATTTATTATTATCAATAATATACTACTGCACTGACACACCACAAAGAATTCCTCCCTACCATTCCCCATCATGTGTAAAATCTAGAGGAATGTACATATGGACAACATCATAGGAATCAGAAATTATTAGTTTTTATAAGGATTATCCTGAGATATACTTTAAATCTTAAGCCAAAATTATCCCATGAGATCACCTTTGAGCTAAAGTAACAGATTAATTTCTTAAATAAAGAAAATCACCTGTAATGAACTCATTTAAAAATTCGTTAGCAACGTGGGAGGGGAGCTGTTGCATTGTAAATTTTGGTCAATGACATGAGACAAAGTATATGTGAACTGCTGTATGAAAAGTGAATTTACTCTGTAAATCTTCACCGAAATCAAAATAAAATTTAAAAAAAAGAAAAAAAAATTCATTAGCAAGAGAAAAAAATGATCAAAAATTTCTCCAAAGCAAAGATAGGAAGGTAATGAGGAAGGGAAATTAGAGCACTGGAAACAGTACAACCAGAACATAATGAGTAACAATGATGACATATTGTGAAAAATGTAATTAACACCACTGAATAATTTGTGTAGAAATTGTTACACAGGAACTTAGTATTCTGTGTAAACTTAAACACAATAAAATATGATTACCAAAAGAAAAAGAAAAAAACAGGCAATGAGCTTTAAAGGCTGAACTGAATTCATCACTGAAAGTTGTGAAATCCTATACAAATTACTTAATTTGAATAAGATTCATTATCTTCATATAAAAAATGAGGGTGACACTATGGAGAAATGTTGTGAATATTCAAAACAGCATAAATAAAGTACACAGAGCACACTGTGTGACACAGAGTAGGTACTTAATTTTTATAATTATTTTTATTAGAATTATTGATAACTGAAGTATGTGATCAGGAAAAAAAGCAGATGCCCATTAAATATTTAGGAGTTTTATCCACATGTCTTAGACAATCTATTGTGCTTGAAATGGCACTACAATCAGGCCTTTCTAGATATGGAATATATAAGTATACCAGTGAAACAATGTCTAATATATTACTGGAAAACTTTATGAATAGCAGTGAAGCACTGTCTCATGTAGTACCAGAAGATGAACCCCTCAAGTTGGAAGGTACTCAAAATATGACTGAGGAAGAGCTGCCTCCTGAAAGAAGAGTTGATCTTAATGCCATAGCTGGAGTGATACTTTCAAGACCTTTATTTGCTGATGGGGCACAACTCAAAATAGGAAAAAACAGCTGCAAACATTCATTAATAATCAGAATGTGGAATGCATGAAGTATGACTCTACAAAAATTGGAAGTCATCAAAAATGAAATGGAATGGCATAAAGAATGATATCCTAGAGGCATTAGTGAGCTGAAATGGGCAGAAATTGGCCATTCTGAATCAGGCAATCATATGCTCTCCTATGGTAGGAATGGTGTCACACTCATTGTCATAAAGAAAATTTCAAGGTCTATCCTGAATTGCAATGCTGTCGGTGATAGGACAATAACAATATACCTATAAGGAAGGTCAATTAATACCACTATTATTCAAATTGGGAGCTCTGGTAGCATAGTGGCTAAGACACTTGCCTGCTAACCAGACGGCTGGCGGTTCAAACCCACCAGCCACTCCTCGGAAGGAAGGTTGGGCAATCCTACTTCCGTAGTGATACTGCCTCGGAAACCCAAGGAGGGGTCGCTATGAGTCGGGGCCGACTCGACAGCACATAACAACAACAACAACAACAACAATTATTCAAATTTACATACCAACCACTAAAGCCGAAGATGAAGAAACTGACGATTTTTTACCAGCTTCTGCAGTATGAAGTTGAACAAATGTGCAACCAAAAAGTATTGATTATTACTAGTGATTGGAATGTGAAAGTAGGAAACAAAGCATCTTCTTGTCTGTCTGCCTATGTATCCACTTATAGAATAGTGTTTGTTTTTACCGATAATGTAGTATTGTGTATGGGATAGTATTTACCTCTATTGTGTATACCTCCTGTGTACCTCTCTATGTCTTCTTTCCTTAGAGATATTGTGCTAGTCACATACTTTTTTTATATTGCTTTTCCCTTCACCCATATTACCACCCATCTCTAAACTATCCATTCACTTTCCCTCCCCCCATCCCTGATAAACAACAAAGATAATCTCCTTCCTGTGTAAACATTTTTATAGTAATAGATTCTTGACTTTTTATAATAATAGATTCATACAGTATTTGTCCTTCTGTGATTCATGCACAGTATGAGGAGATTTACTGATTCTTCAAATTCTTTAATGTTGCATAGTATCCTATTGTGTGTATGTATCATAGTCTGGTTATCCATTCATCTGCTGATGGACACTTAGGTTGTTTTCATCTCTTTGCTACTGTGAATAATGCTGTGATGAACATGGATGTGTATCTATCTATTGATGTCCCAGGTCTTACCTCTTCAAGATATAATCCTAGTAGTACAACTGCTGGATTAAATGGTATTTCTACTTTCAACTTTTGAAGGAAATTGAAAAGAGTGGTTGTATCATTGTATAGTCCCACTCTCATACACAGTAGTGTATACAAAGTAGTGTAAAAGAGTTCTAATCTCTCCACACCCTCACTAGCATTTGTTGTCTCCTGCCTTGTTGAACTTTGCTATTAATTATTGCTGCAGTGAAATGAGCTCTTGTTGTTTTGATTTGTATCTATCTAATGGCTAATGATCATGAGCATTCCTTCATGTGTCTGTTGGCTGCCCGAATATTTTCTTCGGTGAAGTGTCCATTCATATCTTTGCCCTTTCATATACTGGATGTTTGTCTTTTTGATGTTGAGGTGTTGAGTTTTCTATAAAGTTTAGAAATAAGTCCCTTGTCAGATATGTTGTTGCCAAATATATTTCTCCAATCTATAGGTTCTCTTTTTACTTTTGGAGAAGTCTTTTGATGTATATAAAAATTTAATTTTCAGAAGGTCCCAATTATCTAGTTTATCTTCTATTCTTTGTCTATTTTGGGTTATGCTTGATAGTCTATTTATTCCATGAATTAGGGCCCTTAAGTTTGCCCTTATTTTATTTTTGATGAACTTTATAATTGTGGATTTTACAATGCTTTTTGTATTATATTCTTTGTGTAACCAATAACTGAGATTATGCACATTTTGAATGCTCTTTTTTTTTTTTTTTAAGTTTCTGTGATGACGCTTTGATGATCACTCCTTGGCATGAACACAAACACCGGGATAAAGATTGGATGAGTCTTTGACCCATCTTGAGTTCATTTTGTGCAATGGAGTTCATTTTCAGCAAATGGATATATAGTTTTGCCAGATTTGTTGAGGAGACTTTTCTTCCCTAATGAATGGATTTTAGTCCTTTGTCAAAGATCAGCTGCACACAGGTGGGTGGCTCTATTTATGGATTCTCAAATGTGTCTACTGTACAAATACCAGGCTGTTTTGCTGGCTATATAGTGGGTTTTGTTTACTCCTTGTTTTTAATAAAGCATATCTTAACAGTGGTTTGCTCAAATGGTGTATACATGGGTAGTAAATTTTAGGAGATCTTACATAGTAAACTTCATATGTAATTTATGATTTTGCTTGGATACAGAAATCTAGATCAAACAATATTTTCCTTCAAATTTTAAAGGATTGCTCCATTGTATGCTAGCTTCTAGTACTGGTCTTGGAATGTCACAATGGTATGCATAGCAAGCATTTCAATCAGAAACTCATAACCTTCAATTCTAGGTCAATAGTACTGAATAATTTCTTATAATTCTCTCTCCTCTTTTAACTGTTTCTCTGGAATGACTGTTATTTGAGTATCAGATGCATTTTTTATATTTTATCTCTCATTGTCTAGCTTTTCCTTTTTGTTCTACTTTCCAGGAAAGTCCCTTGCTTTTATCTTCCAAATTTTGTAATATGTGTATATCAACTATCATGGTCTTTTAAAATTTTACATAGTTCTTTTATTTCTCTGAGCTTGTTTTATAACATCTTGTTGTTATTTCATGAATACAAGATCATCTCTTCTCTCTCAGGCAGTATTAATTATTATTTTTGAATTTTTTTTTCTTTTGCATGGTCACTCCTTTTAGTTCCTTTTGTTTGGTTTGCTTTCCTGTTCATTTGTGCTACCTGTGGAATCTACCATCAGATGTCCAGGAAGCTCTAGGAGTATGCCAAGATTTACTGACTGGTGGACTTCGTGTGTAGTCTGCTACAATACTGAGACCTTCAAGGCCCAAATCTCAGTATCTAGAACCCTCCTTTCATAGGCTATTCTATTTCCAGAAAAGAATTTTCCAAACTTCTACTTGGGGATTTTGTGCCTAGCAGCCTGCATTCTGGGAGCAGTAAGCAGTAAGCATTCAGAAAATAGATGTTCATTAAATACCCCTATACTCCTCGGAAGGAAGGTTGGGCAATCCTACTTCCGTAGTGATACTGCCTCGGAAACCCAAGGAGGGGTCGCTATGAGTCAGGGCTGACTCGATGGC